TTCGAACCCAATTAACATGTATAATCCCCAATTTTCATCTCCTCAGCTTCTTGGAGTACTTGGCCATGAATTTTCCTCATTTCCCTAGATCAAATAGTCCCTAACTATCTCCAATTGGCTCCCAATTATTCCAATGCCCTAGATTCTTAGCCATAGGTCCACGATGTTACCATCCTACGTGGTTTAAGGGCCTAACTTTCCTCATTTCCATCATCCAAGGATTTTGGGGCATGTTGGTTAGGTACCTAAAAGTTGGTATCAAAGCGACCATTGCGATCTAGGGTCAAATCTTAGGAGATGGCTTCCTGTGGAAAGTGCTATTCATGGAAAGGGCAACCTAAAAAAATAAAATCGGAGAGAGAGCTGCCATAGAGTGAAAGTCGCCAAGGATATTGGTTGTAGAGCATGGTGATATGTTATGATCCTAGGTGATCAAGGGCCTAACTTTCCACGTTTCGATCACCCAAGGATTTTGGGGCGTATTGCTTAGGTACCTAGCACTCAATCCTTGGTTTTTTAATTTTTTTAATTTCCCACAAACTTCCAAGCCCTGATTTCTTCATCCCAAAGGCTAATTTTGATTCCATCTTCATTTACCACCACAGAGTGAGAGCCGCCAAGGACATCAGCTGCAGAGCGTGGTGATATGTTATGATCCGGCCTAACTTTCTACGTTTCGATCACTCAAAGATTTTGGGGCGAATTGGTTTTTGATTTTTTTTAATTTCCCACAAACTTCCAAGCCCTGATTTCTTCATACCAAAGTCTAATTTTGTCCAAAACTGATTCCATCTTCATTTACCACGACGGATATGCAAACCGTACATATACCTCTTCTACCTCTAGATATGCTCATATACTGATCAAATACCCTTTGATCATACTAATTACTTTCATATCATCATCTTAAGGATCACTCACCACTCTTTAATGTGTCTGATGAATCTTCTTACTACTCTAGGTTAGGCGTTGTTGAGTCCAACAATGCATGTTTTTTCTTTTTATTATATTATTTCACTGTTTGAACTTGTTATAAAAACTTATCGTTTGATTTCTTTGAAACATCAAAGAACGATATTTTTTTACTTTAATTTTTTTTATTTCAAGATGAGTTACAGGCGCCGTCTAGTCGATATACTTTTGGTCATGCCTCTCTACACGAGTCCCATATATTTTTCTTTTCAAAAAAATGATTTTCAAGTTTTTGCTTTAGACATACAAAAAATGTAGAAACATTGGTTTTGTTATTGGAAAAGTAGTGACAAACTCCAAGGTTTTGCGTTGGCCTAGATTGATTGTATCTCTTGCAGCTCATAAATCACTACCTCTCTGGAACCTATTCTGGATAATTAGGGTTTCCTTTATTTACAAAGATATTGGCTAAATACCAAAAGAATGGTAAATGGTTTTCAAGTCCAAAATTAAAACAAAGTTGATTTTCCTATTCTGCAAATGTTTTAAATCTTCGATCAATTTCTGAATCGGTCCCCCAATGAATCAACCTGATTTACAGAGTCTAGCAAAGAAATAATAGAAAAATAATAAGTGCGAATCAAGTAATTCCGGGGGCCACAGACCAGGATCTCCACCCACTAATCTCATTTCAAATTGGGATTATTTGGATTCGATTTGTCATTTATTTAACTAATGACAAAATATCGTTTTATTTAATGCCCATGGACATTTCAGTGTATTTTATACAAGCATCTTTCTAAAAGTTTGTCACCCATAAATATAGGATTATATGTTATGAGACTATTTATCTTTGTTAGAAAGTAATTACAATCACTCTTAATCATTAGATGTCAAATTAGATAGCTTGGGCTATGTTACAAAGTTCAAGAAATATTTTTCTAACTTTGAATATAGTCAATAATACTCTTATAAGCATTTGATTTGAAATCAGACGAGCAAAAATGATTGTGACCTATTTGTACCAAAAGTAAATGATCTTTTTATATACTTTTTGCATAAATATGTAAGAGTTGAACATGATGGGCTGCCCATTCTATTTTCTTTTTTTGAATGGTTAAAGATGTAATCTCTAACATGGAGATATGAATATGAAAAAATAAGTAAATTTTGAAAATTAAAAATAATAATTCTATTAAGAAAATATTTGGACCGATAGTTTCAATTGTTTTTAGATGGACCACCTATTTGCATCCATCTTCAAGATGGATGTTTTATACCTCGGGGACTGCAAATGTAGAAACCACCGCATGAAAAAAAAATTCCTTAACAAATCAACCGGAGTGGATTTTGAATTTCCTTCTTCTTCTTTTTTTACGAATGTTATGGACTATTGAATTTCTAGCCTGCAACAATAGTCTGAGGGCTACAGCTTTTGCCACCCACTATCTGTCATCGTTAACCGATAAGATGGACCATTCTTCCACTTTAAATCCATCATCATAGTCCAATGGCGGAGTATCCCCACCGTTTGTTGATGATAATGAAAGATGGATGATGCCAGATTTGCTCATCCAATAATATTATTCTCCGTTGGGAACCTTTTAGCTTGGTACAGTCATATTATCATCCATTTGTATTGCCCCTATTCGAATGCAACCTCCACGAAAAATTCATCTTAGATAGATTTTTGACCAAGTAATCTGTAAGTCGATAATCTTGACTACCACGATCATGCATGCTAAAAAACAAAAGAAGAAAAATAAACTAGATTTTTTAATTGTTTATTTTTTGATCGTTCATTTGAATTATTTACGTATCATAAAATCTGCACTATATTTCGAATTGTAAATTCATGGATACAAAAGAGAATTGCTTCTAGATTAACTAAAGATGTGCTTTACATCCTAGGTCCATTTCTAATATGGATTTTTCAAAGGAACCACATTTGAAATGGATAACAAAAACGTTTCCCTTTGCATTGTGCTGTTTTCCAGTCCCTCTAGAGTAATTTGTGGGCCTGCATTAGGAAAGGTTTTTTTATTGTAATTGCATACTATAAGACCATGACCATTTATTATTTGTTATGGGGAAGTTATAATCACTCTTAGATATTAAATGTTAAATTGGATGGCTTGAATTGTATCACGAAGTTCAAGCACTTTTTTTTTTACCATTGACGCTAGTCAATCACACACTTACAACCACCCAATTTACATTTACAACCACCCCGATTTACATTTACAGTCACCCGATTTAAAATATGAAGGACAAGTAATTGTGACCTCGTTACACTAAAAATAAATGGTCTTTTTGGCCACTTTCCCTTTTGTTTTTATGAGGAGGCAGTCGAAACCGATTTAATGCTTGATGCCATGGTGGTATGCGGTAAACCAATCATTTGCTAAAGCCTCCTATGCTTGAGTGCTTAGGAAAACCCAAGATATTACATACGCTTTATAGTAAAAAACATATATTCATGTCCACTTCCACCATTGTTCTTGACTTTTGGGTTTAGGTATATTCTGACTTCTGAGGAATTTAGCAGTCAGCAAAATATACAACTATTTAACATTAGAAAAAGTTTATATAAGTTTGCTTAAAATTATGGTGCACCAAAAAAATCCATCACAAAATATTATTTTAATGTTGCAAAATCCTCTAATTGATCATCTCGACATCAAGGTACGTAAATATGAAAAGAAAAAAAGATTTCGAGACCTAAAAATATTGTATCTTGCAACATATCTTCTGAACGGCCCATTTTTGAGATTTTCAAAGGTTTATAAATCTACTTGGTTTGAACTATTTTTGGAGTTCGAGATTTTACAAATATAGATGAAAATAGATTCTCCAGCCATCCTAAAAAATTTTGACATCAAAATTGTATTTATGACAAAATTTGGAGGCGCGCTTTAATTTGATTGTTTAAGATTACAACCTTATACAAACCACACCCTTTAAATTAGAGCAAGCTTTCTATGCTTCCCCTATAGCATAAAACTTATATAATTCCCCTTATCCAACCATCTATTCTTAATAGAGGGCTAAAATTGCCCCAATTACAATGTCACGTCTCTACACTATTTTATTTTTAATTTTTTTTCTATGAACTATTTTGACACCAAATTTTAGACGTCCAATCCTCTATTAAACTAGCACTAGCAAAAAATATATATAAAAAAACATTTCCAATAAAATAAAATGACCAAAATACCCCTACAAGATTCAAGGGGTATTTGGTCATTGTATTTTAACAAAAAATTATTTTTAATATTTTTTATAGATGCACCCCAATGAGAAGATGGCACGTTCCAAATTTCATATTCATACAATTTATCGCAAAAAACCTAATAATAAAATACTTTTAAACATCAGATTTAAAATCAAACGGTAAGTGGCTCTCTTGATTAAAATTGGACGGCTGGATGGTAGGGAAGACATAATTCTTCTATGCTGTAGGGGGAAATATAGAAACCTTTCCCAGCTCCTTCTGATTTATTTTCATAAAGCACATCAAAATACACAAGAACACGAGTTGGGATAGTTGAAAATAGTTAAACATAAACGGATGTATAGTTAGTGAATTAAGTGCATTTAACAACTTTTAATTTTATCCCTCAACCAAAATAGCCACCAGCACCGACTCTGGGCTTCACTTAGCAACCATCCCAACATCACCAACACCCAAACGAAACCTAAGTAAGCCACAATAAATCTTGTTGGGAGACTTGATTACTGTTCAAATTTTGAGTACTACCAAGAAAAAGATCTCCAGATCTGAACTTAAAAGATATTCTCATTCACTGAGTAACCAATGTTTCTCCATATTCTACAACAGATTAAAAAGAAATTCACTTTTTAATTCCTATTAAATGAAAAAATATATATTATGCGACTGTAAACCAGTGAATAGTGCATTTTTAAAATATCACACCTCTATACTCATCCTAGATCTCTTCAAAACTCCATGAAACGTTTTAAAGCCAAGCTCATCTATCCTTTCTATAGTTAGTTTGAACCATCGAAACCCCATACCGCGCTAATTATGGTAGAGAGAGAGAGAGAGAGAGAGAGAGATTGCCATATTTGCTCTGCACAAATTATGCATATATTCATTCTGCTAAAAATTCATTCCTTCAATATTTCATTTATACCTTCAATCTTCTCTACCTAGACAAACAAATTGACTCCAATTGAACCAATTCTTCTATATCCCATAGAGTAACAACATCCCGAGGTTCCCCCTCCTGCATAAGCAAATAACAAAAAACCCATTACAACCATACAACAGTTCCAAAATCAATAAAAAATAATTGAATAAGAAGATAGGAGTCGTGCTTGGGCTTGATTAATTAGTTAATGATAAAAAATCTACATCCCAAGTTAGACTCCTGATTCACATAAAAAAATATGTGAGAGAGAGCGAGAGAGAAAGAGAGATTCATACCCAGAATCGACCTCCTTAAAGCCAGCATCTACAATTGGACGATAACAATGAGGCACAACCAGCTAAGAAGACAAGTGGCTCTCGTAAAATCGGCCACCGTCTACATATATGTAGGACATAATTGCAGACATTGTCCAAATCAATAACAATCCAAAAAGAACATACAAAAAGATCATCATTGAAAAGATATCAAGACCCCAGTATGAAGGCATGTATCTCAGCCCAACTGGAGACTGTATAGAGGGTGCCACTTAGTCCTTTCCAATTAGAAGAAGAGCAGCTATCCTCCAGGAAATCCCTCTGTTTCTTGACCACACCGGATAACAAAGGCACAAAACTCACACCAAACTTGCTCCCCACCCTTCTGAGACTCGAGCTTGAGCCTATGACGATACCCACATCAGCCTCTAGAAGACATAGCAAGTCCCCAACTGAGTCTCCAATGTAAACAGACACCCTCTTGTCGGGTTCGCCAATGCTTTCCAACACATCTTTGAAGACTCGAGACTTGTCCATAGGGGATTCCACTTCCCTTACTATCCCCCCCGTGGAAACTGACCCTTCATATATGAACTCATTCGAGTGTATGCTCAATACGTCCAAGAGACCTATGCAACCATAAAAAGAGTTTCACAATCCATTTCAATAAACATAGAATTTTTGTCATGTCAAAGGCTCATGTAATACCTGATAGGAAGAAAAGATCATCCCACAAAAGGTATGATTAAATATGCAAGCTATGTAACCAACTGAAAAATAGCCTCTATGTCTTCAAAGTTGATGAGTAAAATCAAACACAGAGAAGACAGCTCAACCCTACATTTACACATGACACAGGCACATCTTTTCTCATCAGAATTCTTTTTTAACTAATTATTTCATTAGGAAATTATGATATAAGAAACTATATGAGCATAGACAGCAAAAGTAGTTGGCCCATGCCAATAGGGCCAAGTTGCAGCAATAAGCCAGCTAACATCGGCCTAAATTTAGAAGTTGATGTTTTTCATGTTCATAAACCATTTTGAATTTTTCTTATACTGTTTTATTTTTTAAGATAAAAAATGTAGATTTTTTTAGAATAAGGCTAGTTAAATAATGCTTTCCTAGATATAGGTACACAGAGTAAGAGAGGGAAACAAAGTGGATATGAAAGCACAGGGAATGCTAGTATCAGAGGAAAAAGGTTCAGAAACGGGAGTGCCAGTATACAAGATTGCCAGTGAATAGTTGCCAACGTAATTAACAAAGTCTCCAAAATATAAGCTCCAAAAGGTCTTTTAATGACTAAGCATACCAAAATCTTTTTAATTTCTGTTATATGTTGTTCTTTTCTTTTAAGAAACAATATGGAACTTGGAGGTTAGACCGTACGTCCTTAAAATACTCAAATCTAAAAATTACAATTGCACACAACACGTCCCAAGCAATCTAGACAATTTCTTCCTTCTCTTGATAAGTAGCAACCCTAATATTCTTTATTGGATGAGACAACTCTTTCCATTTTCAAAATTAATCATAGCATTTAACAAAAGGAAACATCAAAATAATCATAAAGACAAGTGCAAAAGAAGTAAAAGGAAAATAATACATGGCAGATCATTGCAAAACACAAACCCATCCTTTAGTCCACCCAGATTTGCTAGGCAATTAACTGCCAATTTCAGATAAAAAAGTACATGGATGTGACGCAATAACAAATCTTCATTAAGTTCATATCTCTAAGAAATCCCCAGCAAGTTTACAGTGTGGAGGGCAAGACATTAACAGCATTAGAGAAGTTACCCTCGATTATGCACAACTGGAGACATAGCATGCAGATATACTACCGGCAACTATCAAAGCTGAGGCACTCATAGATGTTGAAACAGCAAAATTAAGATCACCCATTTCAAATGCCTTCCAAGTGGTCCTAAATCCGTAAATCTCCCTTTGACGCTCCATTTAAAGTTCCAACTCAATAACCCAATGCAGGAAGACTATAAGTGAATAATAATTTTGGTTTGCAGCTAAAACTTCAAATGTAGTCCAATCACACCCCACACATACTATGCATATCCTTCAAAATAACTTAGCCTATACCTAGGAATCATAGCATCAAAGAAATGCCGCCCATATTGAAAAGCTCAATAACATATGTAGTGACTGCTATGGGGCCCACGGCCATTAAAGAAACCTGCTATGCAGTATTATGGCCATGCCCATTGTGGAGAACCTGCATGTGATAATAATGCACATTGACAAAAGATCCATGCACTTTCCGGACCTCGATATGTACCAAATGTCTATAATATTCTACTATATTTGGATGATTTTCGTACTGTAACACCTATGCATGTTGACCTATATTGTACCTCCCATAAGGGATCCATGTGTATATATAGGGCACATCGCCCCGTGATTTTCCTAGAGTAGAAGACATCTAGATTTACATAACCTTGTGCTTGAGTATTACTCTCTCCTCTTCTTTCTCAATATTAACATGGTATCAGAGCAGGGCTTGAAACCCTAGGACATACGCTATTTCCAGTGACCCTAGAATCATGATTTTTCTCCCTTCTTGGGCTTGAAGCTATGATAGTATGATGTATCAACAACCTCATATTTTCAGCAAGATCATCTTGCTTTTCTTTACTAATAAGTTTGTTTTATCCCAAAACTCTCCTCATTTTCCAGCAGAAAACCCTAAACCTTGTATCCTTTCTTTACTCCACACAAAAATCACATCAATATACTCCATAGCCTTCTCGCCCAACAAAACCAGGAAATACGGGAAGCTTTGTGAGCTTTGAAACTAAGGAATTAGTACCTTGGGAAAGGACATAGGATTTCAAGTTAAGGGTAGAAGAAAATGTCAGAAATCAAGCACAGTATTTCCTTGGGAAGCAATCAACCTGACCACCCAAGATTGATGATCACTAGAGTTAAGCTCGATCAGAGAAACTACTTAGAATGGTCCCAATCCGCCAAATGTTCATAAGAAGCCGTAGAAAATTGGGTCATATTACAGGAAACGTGAAAGAACCTCAAATAAAAGATTCATCCCATGATGAATAGGAAAGTGAGAATTTGACAGTAGTGGCATGGCTTCTTCATTCCATGCAGCCAAATATAAGCACAAAATTATTGCTCCTTAGAAGTGCAAAGGAAATATGGAAGGTAGTAGCCAATACATACTCGCAACGAGATGATATGGCTAAAATTTACCAATTGCATTGCAAAATAGCAAATTTTGCAACAAGAAGAGATGATTGTAGAAGAGACTTTAGGATACTAAGGCATAAGTGGGAAGAACAAGACCCATATTAGCCTATTAATCCCACCATTGATGACATTATAAACAAGCCAAGCAACGACAGACCTTTGAGTTCTTAGAAGGCTACATCCTGACTTTGAACTTTAAAGAGTATAGCTTCTAGGATATGACAATTGTCTTTTCATCAGTACATAATTATGTACAGAGAGAGGCCATTGCATAAGGATAAAACTCAAGTATCGAAACTGAACATCAGCCTTTGCAATAAGTTCCAAGAAAGGAAAAGTGGGTAAGAAAGGACCAAATCGTTCCCCACCTCTCACTGAAATGGAGAAGCTAAAATGCTTCTATTAAGGGACGAGGAGACACACGTGAGAGCCACTTTGCAGCCACAGTTGAGACCAAAACCAAGGAATGCAAGTGCGCATACTGTATAGGAAACTTCAGCCACACCATCCAATGTATTTGATCCAAGAAGGCCATCAAAGATTTACAGCACCAACTAACTGCTCTCAAGATTTTCCTCACCTCTAAGACACCAGTAGAACAGGCAGGAGGTACATATGCATTTGCAAACCATGCCTCTAACTCCACCTCTTCTACATCCTGGATTGTTGATTCAGGAGCTACTGATCATATGACCCTTAAAGAAGTATGTCCTTTTCTCCTGCTTCTATTAAAGTTAAACTTGTTGATGCATTGACCAATGCCTCAAGGTAAACTTACATCATAGTTGTTCTTCCCATCTCTAACATGTGTCTTCTTTTCCTTCCAATTTTCTCTCTGTTAGCAGCCTAACATAACAACTACGCTGCAGTGTCAAATTCTGTCCCTCACATCGTGTTTCTCAAGACTTGAAACAAGGAAGACAATTGGTAGTGGTCATGAAGACAATGGGTTGCCTGTTCAACATGGGATGCACTTCTATTGCTCTGAACTCTTAGAGTCTAGATTTCATAAGCAAGTACTCTTGTGGAACACCCATTGAGGCCACATGTATTTAGAATCTGTAAAATTAATTTTTCCAAATAAGTTTGTTTCTTTGGATGTTCCCCAACTACAATGTGAGACCAGTCAATTGTCTAAACATTGTAGAATCACTTTTTCTTTTACAGAAACTAAGAGTTCTAAGCATTCCATCTTGTTCATTCTGATTTTTGGGGGCTTGCTCCAGTTATTTATCTATTCAGATATCAATATCTCATTCATTGATGACTAATCATTATACTTGGATCTATTTTATGAAAAGTAGACTTAAGTACCCCCAATAGTTACAATATTTCATAAAATGGTTTAGATTAAGTATGAGACCCAAATAAAAATTTTCCATACGGATAATGCAAGTGTCTATACCTGGGATTAAAGAATTATTTTCTTGAACATAGTATAGAAACTCAAATATGATATTCCTATACACCACAGCATAATGGTTTGGTAGAACATAAAAATAGAACTTGTTAGAAATGGTAAGAGGCATCTTAATAGGCATGAAGATTCCTAAGACATATTAAGAAGATGTAATAGTTCTTACTACTGCAAATATGATCAATAGGATGCCTACACTTGCTCCCTATGGTGCTTGTCCTTCCAAACTTTACTATAAACTTCCAATGTTTTCTCTTCCACCTTTGTTGTTTCTGCTTTGTGTATACCCAGGGGCTGCCTAGGAATAAATTAGGACCCCAATCTACTATGTGTTTTCCTAGGATACTCAAACTCTCAAAAAGAATACAAGTGTTGGTGTCTGGTAATTAAAAGAAAATAGGTCCCAAAAGATATTACCTACTTTGGAAATATACAACATTTTTCTTCCAGAAAGATTTCATATCCACTATTCCACCCGACAATCCTATTCCTCTTCCAATTATCACAGATCGTTCCAATAACCCAACCAAGGAACAGGTGAGGAATCTACTGAAATATAGTTGAATTATGTACACTTGAAAAAGGAACAAAGGGGAAGTCCGATGTAAATGATCAACCCCAACTCGTGGGCTTGTCAGATACTTCTTCTCCTTCAACTCCTACACCTTCTCAACTAGATTTGCCAATTGCCATAAGAAGAGAAAAAAGGATTTCTACTTCTCATCTGATTTGCAAGTCTGTTTTCTATGCTTTCCATTCAGCCTCCTCTTATGCATATCTTTGCTATACTTCCTTAGCTATTTCCACCAATTTTGCAAATGCATTGGTCTATCCACAATGAAAGTATCCATGATTGCAGAAATGATTGCCTTCGAGAAGCGGTGACGTTGGGATGTAATTGATCAACAAGAAGGACAACATATAAATGATTGCCTTAGAGAAGCAGTGACCTTGGGATGTAATTGATTGACAAGAAGGACAACATATAAACGATTGCCTTAGAGAAGCGGTAACCTTGGGATGTAATTGATCGACAAGAAGGACAACATTTGGTAGGATGCACGTGGCTGTATACCCTGAAGCACAAACCAAAACGGTCCGATTGAGAGATACAAAGCTTGTCCAGTGGCTAAGTGTTTTATAAAGTTACATGAGATAGACTATAAGGAGAATTTTGCTCCAACAAAATTGATATTAGTACAGGCACTTTTATCTATTGCAGTAAACAAGAAATGGCCACTCCACCAATTAGACACGAGGAATGCCTCTCCGTGGAGATCTATAAGAGGAAGTGCATATGGCATTACCACTTGGGTTTTATCCTTAGGGGCAGAAAGGGAAGGTCTACACGTTGAGAAAAACTATATACGGATTGAAACAATCACCTCAGGCTCGGTTCAAAAAGTTCAGTAGGGCAATATTTTAGTTTGGATTTCAGATGAGTGTTTCTGATCATTTTGCATTTGTTAAAAGAGATTCTTGTTCTACCACAATAATGATAATGTATGTGGATGATATTGTGCTCACAGGAAATCATGATCACAAGATTCAAAAAGTGAGTTTAGAGAATGTTGACTGTTGTATATATATTATAAAGAAGAGTACAAGGAGAGAGAGGGAGAGAGGCTACCCACAGGCGGATAGCAGAGTTACAAAGGGTAGAGAGAAAAGTGCTATCGACTAGTGATAGCCAGAAGTAGCTAGTGAGAGTGAAAACAGTGTAGGTACAACAGACGGAGTGAGAGAAAAGCCTATAAAATGGCTGCAGCAGAACTAGAACCCCACTCGACGAGGTCTCATATTTCTTCACCGCAAGCCGCTGCTTTTTCCATGGCGTCTGCGGCGTGGTTTGCCTCCCTCCACGTGTGTCTCCAAGCGACGGTCTGTCCCTTGCATAGGTGTAAATTTCATCAAAGATGTGGTTTAAAACCCAGGGGATTGAGGAGGGGTGTTTGGCCCAAGCAATGACATTCTTGGAATCGCCTTCGATGATGAAAGGCAAGTTTGAGAAGGGTTGGATCATTCTAATGCCTAGCTTCGGCCTCCATTGAGTCCAAGTGGCCTACAAACTTGGTGGTCGAAGCTACCGTGATACCTGCGTGGTTTCTCATAACAGCTCCTATTCCTGATGGGCCAAGGTTGCCTAAAGAACAACCGTCGAAGTTGAGCTTAAGATGACCCGGGGGTGGAGGTTGCCAATATGAAGCTCTAGTAGGTTTTCTCGTGGAATAGTGCAGAATGGTTTTCCAATCTTGGGGGTATTTTTGACATCAAGGATCTTGGTCCATTGAAATACTTCCTTGGAATTAGAGGTAGCTAAGTCTAAAGAAGGAATTTTTTTGTCACAAAGGAAGTATACTCTTGATCTCCTTAATGACCCAAGAATGCTTGAAGCCAAACCAACAGAATCTCCCATAGATGTTAATGATAAACTGTATGATCAGCAATTAGAGCCTTTAAATAACTCCAATATATATCAGATATTCGTGGGTAGACTTATCTATTTGACTATCACGCGGCCAAACATCGCACATGTTGTAAGCGTGGAAAGTCCATTTATGCATGCACCATGCTTCCATCACTTGGAGGTTGTTTATTGCATTTTATCATCTTTAAAAATCAGCTCCAGGGAGAGGGAGAGATTACTTTATACTAGTCACGGTCACCTTAATGTACAAGGTTTCTATGATGCAGAATGGGTTGGATGTCTCTTGATCGACAATCTACCAAAGGCTACATTATGTCAGTGGGTGGTAAATCACTTGGAATAGTAAAAAACAGAGTGTTGTAGCTCGATATTGAGCAGAAGTCGAATATCGAGTAATGGCAAGTGCTACATGTGAAATATCAATATCGAGTAATGGCAAGTGCTACAAGTGAAATAATTTGGCTCCATTCTATTCTTCAAGAAACGGGTGTTAATGTATCAGCTCCTATTCCTCTACACTGTGATAATCAAGCGACAATTTATAGTCTCAAATCATGCATTTCGTGAAAGAACTAAGCATAAGGTCGATTGTCACTTCGTTAGAGAAATGCTCACTTCAAAGACATATTTATCAAGGTTTCTAATCGAGTTCAACTAAAAGATACTTTAGGCAAGCTGGGCATCTATGACATATATGCTCCAGCATTGTAGTGACTGTTATGGGGCCCACGACTATTAAAGAAACCAGCAATGCACTATTTGCCCATTATGGAAATCTGTATGGGGTAATAATGCATCTTGACCAAAGATCCATGCACTTTTGGAAAATCAATATGTACCAAATGTGTCTAACATTCTACCATATTTTTATTATTTTCCTGTTGTAATTCCTATGCATGTATTATTTTCAAGCCCCATTACTGGGTCTGAAAAGCTTCAACCATTCTTGGGGCTCACACCTGATAGTGGAAGGAAATTCACAAAATATTCTCTCCTAGGCAAGTGGGACGACTTCTCCACCATAGCACCTAACATCAATTTTTGATGAAATTGCTCACATTTGCAAGGATATGGACGGCTCTTGGAAGCATATTTGGAGGACATCCAACGAGTTCGCAGATCTCATGGAGAAAGAGGGAGCTAGAATCCAAGTAGAAGAGCACGCCTGGTCGGACTCCTTTTTTGTTCTGGACCACAGGCACACAACATAGACACTGTGTATTCGGGCATCTTTCAGCCCTAGTTTATTTATTTGGAAACTTCATGTAAATCCTTGTAATCGGGCAGGTCCTATAAGCCCATTTTTTGTACATGGCAGGTTGACGCATTTTTTACCGAAAGACATTCCTTGTGGGTGATCTCGGACTCTCAAATCTATGTAATTATCACTTCTCAGTAACACCATGTTAACTTTCTCAAAAACATTCCTATGCATGTTGACCTATATTATAACTCCCATAATGGATCCATGTGTATATATATAACACATTACCCCACGAATTGTATGGAGTAAAAGACATCCATATTTAGACAATCTTGTGCTTGAATATTACTCTCTTCTTTTTCCTCTCAATCTTAACAACATCAAATCTTTCATCCTAATTTGCTTGATATGGATTTGTTGCTTTCTTTCAAAATTCAAGCAGGTCCAGCACAACAAGCCCCTTGGATTGCATGATTTATGACCACTCCTGCACTGAGCCATGGAAGGTTGATACAAAAACATAAGCAAGCAACCATATTGAATACGTTCCCATGTTTTCCAAATTTAGGATCACCGTGGTAACAAGTGATCAATTGTTTCTACCTCGGCTTTACACAACAAAAATATGCATAAGGAACCATGCGGTTGAAAATAATCGATTGATTAGACTTTATCTTATAGCGTCAACTGATAAAAAGCCCAGGCACTAGATGGAGCCTTCTTTTGTATGGACTTGCCCAACATAGATTCTTGCAGCACAAATAATATAGACCTTTTTTCTTTATTTGGAGGATAACATATATATAAACTTTCCCTAACCTCTCCTCTCAAACCAAAGAATCGACTTTTTCCCATTTGAAATATTCACTTCCATACATATGCCATGCATAGAAATATATAAAGTATCTTTGTGAAGTAAAGCATTTATGCATAAATGTATACTACAATGCCACAAACAAATCATGAAGCTCATCAATCATCGACCTCTTCTTAATCTAGGTGCCTTCACAGGAAAGGCATTGAACATTCATCCTTTCCTTTCCCCAATTCTATCACTTTATAACATTAACTTCCAGTCACCACACTGCTAACAAGACATTGGGCCCCTAAGGAAGCATCCATTCCCTAACAAAGACCTAATTCCCTTAACAAAATCCTCAACCACATGACAGTAGCACATGTAATTGAAATATCTTAAGACAATATTTACAGACATATAAAACACATAATAAACCCAGAAACTACTCAACCACATCCCAATTGCATATGCCATAAACATGTATATAAACCCATCATATATCCCTTAGTCATTCATGTTCCACTGCAAACACAGAAATATTCATGCTATTAAAAGTTTTTGGGAAAATATAGAATGAGACCATTTACCATTGATACAAGGTGGTCACAATAATCTTGACCATTGGATCTGAAATTGGGTGGTTGCAATTATTCCATTGACAGAGCTAAAACTTCAAAAGAAATTTTCTCAAACTTTGTGACACATCCAAGCTATCAAATTTCACATCAAATGGTTGAAAGGAATTGTGTATCAAAGGTAAATGGCCTCATTGTATACAATCCCAAAGTTTTTATACATAAAGACTTAGAACACAGCAGTCATTTGAATAGAGCATAATCAAGTAAGTTTATCAGCAGGAAATAACATTCTAACATCTTGTTCCGTCTTCTTCCCATTTATACGAACTCCACATATACCCTCTGTATCCGTGGGTCTATGATAACTTGCTTGGAATGATAGGAGATTTTTTTTTATACAAAACCAAAAAATAGCAGACATGGGTCTATGATATAGACATCTAAGAACAACAAAGTCAAAACCCCTGAATTTATCGGCTGTTGGCACTTCTGATATAAAAGATGTAAGCCAAAGCTAGCTTTGATTTATGACAAACAGAAGTGAACATTCCCTACCAAACAGATACTAACAATATGCAAATTCCATTTTGGCAATTCAGGAACACAGCAATTCAGGGATAATTTATACAAACAAAATGAGAAACCATAGTTAATGAATTGATATGATTACATAAATATATCAAGCAAAGGCCCAAAAATATTCCAAGTGAAAAAGTATAACAATTCATCAAAGCTTCAAAGCAATATCTACCTGAGGAAAAAGCAGACCTAATGAGATCTCCACACCAACAATATGACAGTACATGAACATCTGCATTCAACTCATCCTTTCTTTTCACAATCTGTTGGAAAAAGCTTGTGCAACCATCCTGAAGTATAAGCCGTTCTCCTGCTCGCTTTATGTCCTCTAAGTTCAAGCCCTTCAGCACTCCTGACTCGTTGACTCTAGAATTTGCACGTTTCTCGAATTCAGAGAGATGCTCAAGGGCTTTGCATAGACCTTGATAATCAAATACTTCCGCTGTAGAAAAAGAGCCAGAAGCACTTAAGAACCTACCTAAGAGTGCCCTAATTATAAACAGCGCACATCTTGGTTTTCAAGTACAGAGAAGTGCCTTTCTTCCAAGTACCAGGGTGGAAGTATTGCATATAGATAAGAGAGTATAACTATGATCTAATGGACCTAGAAAGCCATAGCCAATTGAGTCACCACTATTCATCAAAAAATATGGACAGTGATGGGAAGAGAGTAAAGCGTCCCATTCTAGTGCGTCACTCTCTCCACCATCATCCATCATTTCAATGACCAGTGACCCCATGAGCTATGGTTTCTCCATGGTCCATCAAATTACATTACCTTCATCACTGGGTACAATGTCTTCAACACATTGTTCATACTCTTCTGTATATTGTTGAGAAAGGGCACCCCATGAGTTCCTTAAATCAGCTGATGACTGCCGAGCAATAGGCTGCTCAGACCCATTCTGTTCCACTTTGGGAGCAGTGCGTATAGCAATTTCTGCTAAAATAGCAGAGGAATCAACAACAGTGCATGTCAAATCAAAATCCGAGAAGATAATAAGGCGCTGTTCTGATGGTTTGTGCACGTTCGACAAAGGGACAAGTGTTTTCTGAGAGATGGGTTGGGCAGAGAAAAATTCTATTTCAAGCTTCATAGCTTGATGATAAAGCCTCTCTATGACTTCTAGCTCCTCTCCTGTCAGAGATATGCTGAGTTTGTCAAGCAACTCTTCTATCTGCAAAGCTGCCACCTATTTTCAAATGAATATCAACTTCAGTCAGAAATCATAGAGCGAAAATGAGCTATAAGTCAAGGAACATGGTGTATAGACATGGTCCATTGGAATCATTCCATCCAACGAAAAGGAGCAGGACATGACCCCAATGCTCTTCTCATCATCATCCATCATTTCACTGGATGATGATGATCCAATGGACTATGGTTTTCCATAGTCCATTGGCTTATAGTATACTTCATAACATCCAGTAAAAAATATTCATTTCATGCTACCCCAGAACAAGTGGTATGAACCATAATACCCAGAGAAACAAAATTTTGAAGTAAAACCATGGTTAAACTCCATACCAACCTCAAAACTGTCAGAAGAATATATATCAATCCACTTTTTGTATTGGTGGTCTGCACTGTTCACGAATCTCTGGAGTTCCTTTCCCAAAAAAGCATATAGCCTCATGCAAGGGGTCATGGCCCCAACTGTGTAAGCAGCAATTTTAGTCTTCTCAAAAGGAGTTGCAATTCTGCTGGGGCCTTTTCCACCCTCTACCTTGCCTGCAGCTGTTGCCATCAAAAAATCAATGTATTTGGTTGTTGCAGAGCTTGGAGTGCTCTCCTTCACAAGGTCAACACCCCATTCCTGCACCATGAACTTCATTCAGATAACATTGACTTCCACGGATATCTCTCTCATATGGACAAATAAATCACTACAAAAATGGCAACAATAGTCCAGGGACACCAAAACACAAGCTATGATATTAAGCCAAATCTGTATAGTAGACAAGAAAGTATTACACAAGCAAATGAAATAAATAGTTATTCAATTGAAGCTTAACTAGATGCAATCTCAGCTTCACTCAGTAAATGACCGGTAAATTTGTTGAACAATAAGAAAATAGAACAAACAGTGAATATCACATATTTCGATTTAATCAAATTTCCCAACATATTAGCTGACATCTTGGGCTGTTGCCCAAGAGCACAAAGTATCCCTCCATTATAAACATAACAGATATATGCAGCCGCAGGCCAGTGGTTGCCTTCAGCCCACAATTGTGTAAGATAGTTCCACTTGCAAAATCATTTAAATTAAGCAATAAAAAACAATTCCAATGTATCCCCATAGACACAACACTAATAATAACAATAACCATAACAACAATATCAACAACACAAGCAGCCATAGTCGCAATAGTAATGTCTTGATAAAGTTTGTAAGAAATTGTAACTAGCTAATGAATATAATTATTTGCTACAAAGTACAGATCTACCTTAGAATTTGTTTCAGCCAAAGGAGGGAACAGGAAAGAGAAAGGCCTGAATAACAAGGTTTAAGAGGCAAACTAGAGATGTGGATCCTAGAAGATAACATGAGAGCTATTGAAGTAGATGATAATAGCGGCGAAGATGAATCACATCACCATAAAGAGAAGCTTGATGATCAGAGTTGCTAGTATTTTAGGAGTTCTCTTAGAGCTTTAATATATCATCCATTCCATTTGCTGGTCAAATAAGTCCACAAATCACAATATTAAAACTTGGCAGTGTTACCATCTCCACTAATAGAGTCAGAGAAAGGAGGCTATTTTCCTAGAGGATATATTGATACGAGGGTATTTCCTAGAGATTGGGAGCATAAAAGATGACATGCTATATCCACTAACAGGAAAATAGCCTCAACAATTGAGGCTATTTTCCTACTCAAGCAATTGATTGCGAAGTTTAGGCAGAATAGAAAAGACCTCCACATTGTCTTTATTAATTTGGAGAAAGCATACGATAAGGTGCCTTGAGAGCTCATTTAGTGGGTGTCGGAGAACAAAGGAGTCTAGAGGATATATCAGCATGGTGAGAGATATATATGAGGGAGCCTATAAGGGCAACTAGTGGAGAGACAAGCGATTTTTCAGCGACAGTATGCCTATATCAGGGGGTCAATGTTGAGCCCATTTATGGAGTCGATAATCCATGAGAATGGAGAGATTGAGGAAGATGTCACATATAGAACTAAAGCTAGATGGGTGAAGTCGAGAAGTACTAGGGGAGTTTTATGTGATTAGCACATTACCAATGAAACTGAATGGGAAGCTTTATGGGACGACTATAAGAACACCATGCTTTGTCTTTCAAAAATAAAATAAATGAAAAAAAAAAAAAGACTAGCCATGCTTTATGGACAGAATGTTAGGGAGGTCAAGAAACAATATATCCATGAAATGAATATAGTTGACGGATGAGCATCAAGACAAGAAAGGATAGGATTCGAAATGAATACATCCAGAGGGCACATAAAAGTGGCCCCAATAGATGATCAGATGAGTGAAAATAGACTTAAGTGAGCTGGCCATGTGCAACGTCAACCTAGAATATCACCGGTTAGGAAAGGGCGATTCATTGCAAGTTGAAGGCTTTAAAATGGCAAATAAAAAGCCCAAAAGGACATGGATGGAAGTAGTGAGGAGATATAGTGACTCATGGCTTGCCTGACTAAGGATATGACCCTTGATAGACAAAATGGCAGAATATGATTCATGTAGCCTGCCCCAAATAGTTAGGATAAGACTCAGATGATGAAGTCATTGACTTTCAAAAGAAATAAAAAAATATTCAAATTTGGTTTAGTAACATTGAGTTTCAAAATTAATTATATGGCTTTACCAATATAAATAATGCCGTTACATGGTATTTGTGTCAGCAGAATTCAATCACTTAACCGAAAGTAGTATTCCTACCTAACATTGACATGGACGTTGGATGCTCCTAGCTAGGGATAATTGAAAAATAATTAATGATAAAAACATTTTTTACTATAAAATGATATATGTATATAACAATATAAATATGAAGAAGATTTAAAATTATGCAGTTTTTTCATATATCAATATAAATATAAATAAGATATAAAATTGTGCATTATAATACGATTTGTCTAAACTTGTGTCTTTCCAAAAGTATATCATATTATATGGATAGAAGATACATGAATATTTTAAAATGTAGATATAAAACACATATATGATAACAAATATATACTATGAATATAAAAAATATAGGTTATATATCATAAACTTAATGTAATATTAGCTATAATATATATGTATGAATGTGTTGAATATTCAAATATCATACTTCTATCCATGTCTGTAACCTCGAGTTTGGGAAATGTGAGTGGTATCTGCGTTCCTCTTATCAGTGCCCATATCCATATGCATGCATATCTGGCAAATTAGATTCCTACAACATTGGAAGCAACATATAGTAGAGTAAGAAAACCAAATTCCAGAAAGCTTTTCAACAAATCAATTTTATTTATATGATTCATGCTTTTGCATATTTTCTATTTCCATAATATTACTTTTTTAAGTTACAGGAAAAATGATTAAATCATTGCATTTTGATTTTGTATTTTAATTTCACTTTTACACCTTGACTAATCATTGACGACCATGGCCACCAGACACTATTGCATTATTCCATTACTTTGTGCATAAACTGAAACAACAGCAAGTATACTTCGTCCATATACTAAAGTAACAGCAAGTATTGCCACTCCAGCCAAAGTAATCTAAAGTGCGTATTAACTACCAACCACAGAAGCATACAACTTTCTAACATAAATTGTTATAAACCCATGCCATGCCTTAGTTGCCAGAGCCTTGTATTTGATTAGCAGTCCAATTCCCAAAACTACTGTCCCAGGCAATTTGTAAGTTTCCAACAAAAAATATTCTCCATGCCAATGCCTACTCCCAGTCCCACAGGATTCCATTAGCTTGTAAATACAGAAATATGCCACATCAGGGATTAAAAACTCATTTTAGGACATGGAACTCACCTGAGTCCACTAGGTTTGGGCAGTCACTGAGTCTTAAAAGGCCCCATATCGCCTATATAAAGAATGGGTAAACCCTCACACCGAGTTTTCCAAGGACTAGATGAGCTTTTGTCAAACTCGGTAGAGTCCAGAGTTTTTAGAAAGTCTCTCACAACACGCCAAATCTGACACATTCCAGCATGGGAAAAATCACAAAAGTGGACGTAATTTTCTATATTTCAGAGACTTTTCTGTGGCATAGAGGAACAGATAAAGATCCTTAACACAAATCTGTCCCCTCCTTCAAGATCCAGCACATTTGGAACCCTAAAAGCAATAGAAAAACTCGTACTTAAATGACTTTCTATTTGGATTTTTCTTGGTAGAAAAAACATTTGTGAGCTTTTGATCTTCAAGATCCAAAGCCATTCGGTTCTAAGGTTTAGGGTGATGGTTTCGCAAAAGACTTGAGTAACATTCCAATGTTTCGAAGCCTGGAACCTTTTTGCCAGCCAGATTTGGGGATGGACCACCATTTTGTGAGATTGGACCCAAGAATGCTGCTTATGGTCCATGATTTCTAATTCAATCACCATTTAAATGGTTCCTTCCATAAGGGAACATTAAATCTACAAAGGACTAGAATATTTTCACATATCTACTATTTCCTCTGCTATTTATGATCATCACCATAAAATTTACACAATATCCAGAAATGAAAAAAAAAAAGATACAAGTATAAATATGTAAACATACAAAACTTGTTCTGATTTCTTTGTAAATGGTTTTTCATTTTTATTGGTTTTCCCATTTTTCTCTGAGTTTTCAATATTTTTCTTGTTTCTACTTATTTGTCCCAGATTTCATGGTTTTTTTTCTATTTTCTCCACTTTTCTAAATGACTTGGATAAAGCTTGCTAAGTTGACCCAAGACCCACTGACTCAACTCGTGACTTGACTCACCTCGAGCACTTGGTGAATCATGTGGAGAATCTGAGTTTACAAATACTGTGCCACACATTTCATTAACAGTCCCATCCCATAGTCACTAAGGCCACCTTGGTACACCACATACATCCATAATCAGTGTTATCTGAATCGCACTGGCCACAGGATCAAATAGGGGTTTTTTTGGTCCAAAGAAAACTGCTCCGACCATAAGTCAAACCGGTTGGACTTATTAGAAAAATAAAAAAAATAGGAAGAATGATTTAAAAATATGAAATTTAATACAAAAATGGTTGCCCAACCCATGGTAGTCGGGATCTCCCAACATAGGTGGCAATCCTACTTTGGGGTATCACTCTAGTGCTCTAGGAAGGGGGTCTTGATTTTTAAATTTTAGGATCTCAATCCGCACCATTAGGGATTTCAATCCGCACCTTAACGACCAAATTGATGATTTTCTTTATTTAAAGCCAACTAGCAATACAACTGTACTCTTGATATGGTTACATTATTTACTGGCCATAGATAAAGAGATCCTTACTTTAAAGAGTATAGACTATATATAGTCCTTAAAGATTGTATATAGTCCGGTTAGTAGGGACGCTTTGGTTCAAGTGGAAGGCTCTAAAAAGGCAAAGGGAAGGCCCAAAAGCACATAGATGAAAAAAGAAGGAAAAGATATGGTGACTTAAAGTCTAACTGAGGGTATGGCCCCAACAGAGCATAATGGAGGAACAAGAATCGTGTAGCCGTTACCAAATAGTTGGGATCGAGATATATAAACTCTTTAAGATTGGGCGCAAGATCTCAAAAAGGTTGGGATCGAGATCACAAAACGTTGGCATCGAGAACCCAAACTTATGGAGGTCTTAATCTTTAATACATGCATCGTACGAAGAACACAATCATAGGGATCTTCTAGCCTTCCACGATCCCCCGCTCCTTGTCCAAATCCTTCTTCTGATCCCACCAACTATGGCCCAATCATGATTAACCAGTGGAACATGTCAAACTCGACTGGTGCAACCGGCCAAACCAGTCACACATTGGTTTTGACCAATCAACCAAACACGTTTTTGTTTTGCATCGAGATCTTTTTTGTTCTGCACCAACATGGCTAAGGCATCGAACAGTGATCCAATCACTGGACCAGTTGGTCATGTCCAGTCTCGATAAAAAAATTTGATAATAGCACAATTGGTCATTAAGTTCTAAATAGATGCTTCTCAACCTCCACCTTGTTATGGAGCAACTATTTAACCCCTGACCATTTAAAGAGTCACCATCCTTGATGACTAGTTTCACAAAACCCTTGGTCGGAATGCCCCTTCTTATGATCCCTAAATATTATAGATAATGCCCACATGGATGCACTTGTTCGAAATCTTGGTTCTATGACTTAAAATCACTTGGTCAAGTAAGATCATGCACTACCTAAGTCCAAAAACACAACTTATTGTGGGTTGAATATGGGAAAACATATAGCCCGATTTCATCAGTGCAGAGCAGCTCCACATTCTTGATTTATTCATAATCATTATCCAAGTCCGAGAAAATAGTTTCCAAAGAATATGTTGATAAGATTCACCAAAAAATCCAAGAATTTGAGTACCACATGACTAATCTTGGCTCGAGAATAGCCCAGCTTTTAGGCCAATTTTGAGTTTCTAAACAATGACACACATGTATGCTAATGCATCCAGCCACACACACATCCAAGTGTGTGTCTGTTTGTGCATGTGTACGTTTGTGAATGTGTGTGCACACATTGAATTTTTTTATTGTTCTACATGGAGTTTGGTTATTTGAATCCAGGCAATTTTAGTTCTCCTCGCAAAACTCACAACCTTAGGGAGTAAAAAGTTGATGCACAAGACCCTCTTGTGTATATGTTGGTGTTAATTCTAGAGCTACAAAATTGGGTATATCCTTGGGAGAACATGCATTCAAGGAGAATGAATATGTGCGATGACTACTTTTTTCATTACTTTTGTTCTGGACAGTGTATATTTCACAAAGTATTCACATTTTAGTCACTAAAAGAAAACTTTGTGAGCAATATCATCTAGAGTTATCTTTTTTATTTTTAATATAAACTGGCAACATAATAAATTAGTGTCTTACCTTTCCCATTTTACTCTCTTGAGATCTTAGCTATTCCACCACATTTTTTGTGGCAATTCCTTTATCATGTTAACACCACTAGTTCCATCTTTAGATCAATAAGAAAATCCCAAAGGGTACCATATAACTCCATGGCAAAGAAGTTGTCGACTCAGTTCAAGAGAGGAGGGCGAAGGTTGTCTCTCGTTTAGAGGCAAACTTAATACTATTTGATAGATGAGAGTCAAACTCTCACTCCTAATAACAGAAAGCAACTTAATACAACTACAAGAACAGTTCTTTCTTTCGCAGCTCAACTGCAAAGGGAGGCAGGTTCTAACACAGAACCAGTTCTCTTTAGAAGATATTTTCTGGCGACTTAGATATTAATGATCCTAAATTGACAAAAGCCAATGCACAACACATCAGTCTATAATTTTCACTAATGCTTTTCAAGAACATCTATGATGGAGGGCATTATTTCAAAAGACAGTCCACCCGCACCTAGGTGCCTAGGCACTGAGCGACCCTCCCTTGGCCTCGATGGGCACCTAGGCAAGCACCCAACATCCAAGGCCAGCGTCCTTTTTTTGTGAAATGGATCATTTATGACCTGGATTTTTTTCTTAAGAGGCCTTTATGGGGTATTCTAAATCCCCCAGGTCAAAAAAATATTGGAATCTAAGCCCCAAAACTTTTATTTTGAGATCTTTGTGAATCTAAAAAAAAAACTCTGCGACTGCAAGAAACATCCATAAGCGTATTTTTCATTGTTGAATTTATGGTGCCATTGAAAGGTTTGAAGACTAGTGCCGTTTGGACATTTGGATTTTTTTTTTTTGCCTTTTGGGACCATTGGTTTCATATTCTGTACGTTTGATGAAGACTTGGAGTCCACGTGATCATGGAATATGGAGAGTTGGAGACTAATACTATAATACAATTTGGACTTATAAAAGTTTTTTTCACTAAATTTTCTATGATTTGAAGTTTTGAACATGTTTATTCTCAATGTGCGTTATGTTTGTATGAAAAAGGTTAGTTATAATACATATAAATGCAAAAAATTGCAAAATTAACATAAATTATGCAAATATGTGCATTTGGAAAGAACACATACAAATGCAAAAAATTGCAAAATTATCATAAATATATGCATATATGTGCATTTGGAAAGAACAAATACTATGCATATATTTGTGGACTTTTCATTGTAGGACACATGGGGTTTTGGGCGCCCACCTAGGGGCTGCCTAGCATCTACCTTGACAGAGGTAACTCTTTGAATACTAATAGATGAGAGTGAAACGAAACTCATTCCTTGTGAATGTTTATATTATTGTAGCTCCACCTTGCCTTTAGGACAACTAATAGGGATGTGGAAAGCCTAGCTAGGCAAGAGTTCACAAGAGAATCCTAGAAAATAGGAAAAAAAAAAGCTCTAACTTTACCATATCTTTAATCCTCATTTATACGTCTTTGTATATATGCCTTTGTTAGACAAAACGACCTCAGTGAAATTTGACAATTACACTTTCTAACTGATGAATTGTTCTCTTTCAGGAAGGTAATGATTTATTTGATGAATGGTTAACAGCCAAAGTGAAAAAAATGGGTTCCATTTACATGAACTACAAGTTGGAAAGATGATCAGTTTTTTACTTCTTTTAGGGTGCCGTACCCCTGTCAACATAGTGAAACAGATTCTTCTGGATTCTTCTTGTTCATATACCACTTGTTAACATCATTTTAGAGATGATCTTCTTCTTTTTTTAATTCCCTTGAATAGAGATGCATGTGAACTTTGAAAATATCTATGATTAAGCCAATTATGGTATAATTGAATATTTCTTGCTACTCATCCTGTAATGAACTATTTGTAAAACATTTTTTGATTTAGTTGTCTCTCCACAATATAGTTGTTTGTTGCTGAAACCTCCAATTCATGGCATGAAGAATCCAACAACCCATACCTATGTCAGACATGACACGCGTAGTGTGTCGATGCAACATATAACACTCAGAATCACAATGCAATCCCTTCGCGCTCTTTCACATTCATTTACATCTCCAAGAATCGAGTACAACTAAGAACCATCCTTTATTAGGTAGAAAGAATCTCATGTCCAAAAATAGGTTGGAAGCACAAGCTACTTCCTTGGAGAATCCTTATACTTCAAGAGTTTCCAAGACCAAAACCAGAGACAACTATCAATTTTTGTGGGATGAATTGCCTAGAACTATCATTTTAATCTGTAGCTTAGATATAACACAAAATAATCATTTTCATATACATGTAAACATAGAAAGAAAATAACTAGATAAATCATCTAACCTCTGCATAAGACTCGTGCATTTTCAATTCTTCTAATACACCCTTCCTTAGCTCACAAATAGAAGCCTTTGCATCATCATCGTCTGCACAGTCCTCTGCCATTTCATACCTAAAAAATCCAACAAGATCCAAACATCAGTGCAACTACCCCCAAAACATTTGATCCAAAAGAACTAGCAAGATTAAGATCATGATCGAAAAGAACTACCAAGATTAAGATCATGATTAAATAAAACATAATAGAACTAATAGTAACAACAATAAGATTAAAACTATAAAAAAGAATAATAACAATGCTCATTTTGGGTGTGATCTCTATCTTATTCCTATAATTTACAAGAACTAATTTATAATAAATAAACAAATCAAAAAGATAAGAATAACTCATTAAATGAGAACTTCCAGTTTGTTCCATTAAAACAATTCCGCATAACGTGAATCAGAAACAACAAGTCATCTAAATGATAATTACAAGCAACTCTTAAAATACGTGTTTCTAAAAAAGGCAATGACGAGAAATGGAAAACCCAAGATCAAAATAGAGCTATATTCCAGCATAAAAGACCCTAAAACCTCACATACTCAAAACAGAGAGAGAGAGAGAGAGTGAGAGAGGGATCAAAACAGAGACTATCTACTGCATATAGATGTCATTCTATACCAGCATACTCAAAAAAAGAAACAAACCAAAAGAGAGAAACCAAAAAGATAGATAAAGAGGAAGATAAAGAGAAAACAAGAAAAATAGGGATTTAGAGAGAGACTCACGCCCGAGCAAAACACTTAAGGAAGTGAGCATCTTGAGCAACATAGTGGCGAAAGGTGTCCAATTCAAGATTTCCGGCAGCCAAGCAAACAATGAAAGGGCTGTAAGAAGCGAACACACTCTCTCTCAAAAACTTCACCCAAAACCTCCTCGCTGCCCCTTCCTCATCTGCAACTCCCATGTCAAAAACTCTAGACGTTGAAAACCCCCTCAAAGAACTCCCAACAGGAAACCCACTTCGAATTGATCTCCTAAAACCCAAACCTAATCCAAAACTCCCACTAAAATCGCCCCAAATCAAAAAACCGCCTCTAATTCGCCTTGAAAACCTTAAAACCAGATGCTCTGGAACCAAGTTCCAGAGATGATGAAGCCGTGAAGCGGGGTATCTAGATCGAAAAAGACCAAAGGTTGGATGGGGTTTCAGACAAGAGCAGAGAAAATGAGAAGGGGAAATTCTGAGGAGAGAGAGAGGGAGGGAGAGGCTTTGGGGCATATATGCATGGGAGGAAGGTGGCTTTAAAGTGGGAGATCTAACAGAAAGGGAAACGAGGATTGAATGAATATACCTGGTTTTGACTCTAGAGAGAGAAGGGGGGGTTGGTTTTATAGGAGAGAGACAGAGAGAGTGGGTATGGAGAGAGAGAGGGGGGTAAAAAGAAGAGAGAGAAAGGGGGATGGAGAGAGAAAGGGATGTGGGGAGAGAGAGAAGAAAATGGTGATTGATTAGAGAGAGAGAGAGAGAGAGAGAAAGAGAGTGAGGGGAGTGGAAAAATGGTGGTCGGAGTTTTTGGCGGAATATAGTGGAGCTTTTATTTGACAGTGGCCTATGCAGGCCGGCGGCCGGCATGGCGTTTGCGCGGTCCTCCCGTGAGCGGTCCGCGTCTAATAGAGGAGGTAGTTGAATGTTGAAATTTTCCTCCCTCTCTTCTAAGGGTAGCAACGGGCCAGCCCTTAGCGTTGCCCTGACCTGGCCCTCCTCTCTATAGGACTTAGGGGTGGCAATGGACCCGACCGGACTTGGGACTCGATGGGTATACTAGAGCTCGGGTCTTGGTAAAAGTCCAAATTTTAGATCCGAATACTAGTCGGTAGACCCGTACTTGTAGTCATAAGGTATATGATGGCAATTATCTGTCATTAGGCATGCCACTAGATGTTTATGTTGTCATAAGGTTGTTAACATTTATAGTATTATTGGCAAATAAAAATAAAAAATTGCTCATAGCCAAAAGGTATATGATGGTAAAAAAAAAGCTAAAAATAAAAAAAAAAGTTCTCAGTCATAAGGTGGCGATAAATCCAACTAGATTCGGGACCCGACGGATAAACCCAGGACCCAATGGGTCTAGGTCTGGGTCCAAATTTTGAACCCGAATACTATTGGGTCTGGGTCTGGTTCCCGGTACGGTTTCAAGTCAAGGTCCATGTCTAGGTCCAACGATACCCGATCTGTTGCCACCCATAATAGGGCCCACCCACGCCTAAAAATAAAACAAAAAATAACAAAAAAAAAATTGACCCGGGCCATTGCCAGACCTAGTCTATTTGATTCTCTCTCTGCCCAGCCCATTACCGACCCTACGCTATTTGATTCTCTCTCCCCCTTTAGTTTAATAAGTTTCCCTCTCCATCTCAAACTACTTTTTAGTGATTTTAAGGATGATAATAACATTGAAGGGTTGAATACGTTGAATGTATAGCATATTTCAAATTTCTCTCGTGGTCCCCGTTTAATAGAGCGGATGCAGTTGAAGTGTTTCTCTCTCTATAGTTGAAATGTTTCTCTCTCTCTCACTAAGTCACTTTTGATTTGGAGCATTGAATACTTTGACTGGCATCTTCTTCTCTTCCCTTTCTAATGCCTTTGAGATGATAATGGTGTGAATGCTATCGAAGGGTGTTTTAAGCAAGGGTGACAACGACTCGGGTGTGGGTCGGGTCAAGCTGGATTTGGACCGAGCCCCAAATAGCATTCGGATCCAAGTTTTGGATCCAAACTCGAACTGTCGGGTTCAAAAGTTGGACCCATACCTATATCCATCAGGTCTCGGATCTATCCCGTTGGGTGCTGGATCCGGTCGGGTCCATTGCCAACCTCACTACAAGTTTTTTTTTTCTTTTTTTTTGTCTTTTTTTTACCATTGTATATCTATATTATTGGCAACAATATCACAATTATCGACTATTAGATTTCAAACCGTGTGATTTGTTGTTTAATAGCTAAAAATGATATACTATAGATAATACACTAATACGGCTTGAAGTATTTTATCTTCAAGAGATTATATGTACCAATTGGGTATCGGTCCCAGACTCGAATAGTGTTCAGATCCATGTTTTGAACCTGAACCTGACCCAGAGTTCCAAATGTTGGACCCATACCCGGATCCATGTCGGGTATAATCGGTGGGTCCAAGTCCGTTACCCCCCTAGTTTTAAACCGGGCCATGTCCAAGTAGCTCCGTTTGAGTTGGGCAGGTCTGGTAAGGCCAAAAATTGTTAAAAATAAAAAGTACAAAAACATCCCAAAAATATAAAATATATGTTTAAAGTTTCTCTCTCTCTTGCCCTTTACAATTTATTATTTTATATTTCTCTCTATTCACGTTTTCTCAGTTTTTCCTTTTAGTCACGTTACACACTTGCTCTGTCTTTCTCTCTACTCACCTCTCTCTTACTTTCTCTCTACTTACCTCTCTCTTACTTTTTCTCTACCTCTCTCCACTCATCCTCACTCTCTACCTATTTTTCTCTCAACCTTCGTCAATGTTTCTCTCTCCATTATTATTTTTGTAATTTTTTTTTCGATCCAACAAACATGGCAGACAGCCAAAAAAAATCCGATTTGGTAAAGAGTGCCGAACCACATAAATTCCAATAAGTTATCCTTTCATATAATGCAGTCCAACACATTGCTTGCCAAACCGAAAAAAATCACAAAAAAAATGGAGAGAGAAACGACAAGAGAGGGTAGAGAGAGAAAAGGAGAGGTCGGGTAGAGAGAGGTAAAGAGAAAGTAAGAGAGAAGATAGATAGAGAGAGAAAGAGAGAGCAAATATGTCACATGACTAAAAGAGAAAAGAGAGAAAAATAGGAAGTATTAATAAGGGTATTTTGGTTTCAATTTCATTAACTATTTGACTTGGAGGTAAATACAAGAAAAAATAGTGTTGAAGTTTAAAGTATAATACAAAAAGTATTGAAAATAGGATGTATAGAAAGTTAATTTGAAGTTATTTTTAATTTTTTGAAAAAAATATTATAAATAAATTTCTTATTTTTAGATTTTTTAATTTTTTTTAAATCTTTTTTAAAATCCCAAACTTGACCACCGAATTTGAGATACTCGGGCGACTCCAAGTTGGCTCGCCCTAGCACACGAATATTGATTTTAAAACCTAATAGTCTGGAACGCGAATTGTCGACTCAATCCAGATCAACCCACTCCTTATGAAAACAAAGAACCAGCCCAATTCCTATTCACGCTGTCTTGTATGGGATGTTTTGATTCTCACACATTATAGATTTTTATTTTGTCCCTTTTAATTTTTCAATTTTTAATTTTTATAGACTTACTCTTGTGCTTGAGAATCGGATCCAAACTGGACTTCCTGAAGACCGATTCAACACGCCCATTCCATTTTACAAACAATGCCATTGAATGTAGAGCACCTCTCTCTAGTGCTCCAGACAGTATTACATTTGGTTGAATAAGGAGGCCCCATGTTATTTTCTTTACCTCTCACTTTTCTTTTCTTTTTTTGAAATTTTTTACTTTTTTAAGTGCTTTGAGAAGCCGCTGGATGCTGGGCACATAGGGAGTCTCGCTTTTTCTCCATTAATATTGGGGAAAGTACATATCATAATCCAGGAGAAGGTGGTGCATGGTGCTCCAGGGGAGCATCCAAGTATAACAGTTGAATACTTGAAAATATATACCAAGGTTTTGGCGAGTCAGCCTACTCACCTATTACTGTGCGGTCTCTTGTCTATCCAACGTTCATCTTTAAGATGGATATCAAAAAATATTACATCCACTAAAAGTTAGAATAGATGGTGAAGAAAAGAATTCAAAAATTAACATTAATATTTTTTGAGAAAGAAAATTTTTAAATTTAGATCATTTCATGGTTGAGATTATTGAATTCTAAGTTTTTGGAACGAAAATATATCTTTGAGATATATTTTGTAGGGAGGCTGCATAAGAATATTGTGAGTCGGCCGACTCACCAAACACTTTTCCATATATATTCCTCAAGGAGACGTTAAAAAAAAGAAGAAAGCGAGCATCTCTTTCCTAGTTTAAAGTTTAAACTTTGAAGTTGGATGCAGCAAGACTTTCCAATATACACACTCACATTTGTGTCAAACTATCATAAGTTCCTTAAGCATTAAGTGTTGATGTTAGGTCCATCCAAAGTTCTTTCTCTCTCTAGGTCCATCCAAAGTTTACTCTCTCGATTTCTCTCTCTAGGTCCATTAAAAGTTCCCTCTCTCTCATAACTTTTAGCTAAATGCTTTACTTTCTCTATTATAATTAAGGTAAAAGCCTCTCTCTTATACTTTAGCTAAAAGCTTATGCACTCCCGTAGAAGCGTATATCTAATAATGTGTATATAAAAATAAAATATATAATTTTTAATTATTTTTTATTGTTATTGTATATTTGTGTAGGGATAACATAATTTATACTAAATTTGTATTTGTATATACACCATTTTAAGGTTTCATTTCTTATTAATGAGAATTGATCGAGATTATTTCTCTCTCTAAACTGTTATTCAGCTTTTCATCTTCACTAAATCTAATATTGTATCGGAGCCACAAGGATCTGATCGTCTCTTATCTGTTGCTGCTCACAAATCACTCTTTTTGTGAAGGTCAGTAATCAGATAAATTTTATTTTTTTTGAGGACATCTTAATCTCTATCTTTTATTTACTTTGCATGATCATCCCCGGCCCTTGTTTCTTTCTTTTCCTTGCAAAATTTACCCATAAAAAATTACTCAACAAAATTTATCCGTTAAAATTTACCTCAACAAGTTTGGCCCGTCTCCATCAAAAATTTGTCTTGCAAAGCTTTGCCTTGCAAACTTTGTAAATCTGCGCTGCAAAATTTCCAACTCTCAGCTGCAAAATTCGTCTTAACACTTTGACAATCTCTTTAACAGTTGATGCTTGCAAAATTTGCTTTGCAAAATTTGCTTTGCAAAATTTGCTTTGCAAAATCTCTTTGCAACCCTAGACAATTGATCACTTTGTGCATGTAAATTTTTTTTTACGTTCCTTCGTATTGCTTATGCAAGTTGTTGTGTTCTTCCACAACAACAGTTTTCCATTGAAATTATCAATTTCTCTCTCTAGAAAAGATTTGGCTAAAGAATTTTTTTCTTGTAATATCTCAAATTAATTCCCATTGCTTCCTCCAATTGATCGTTTTTCCTTTGCCAATTTTTCTAGAGAGAAACTTTGTCTCAAAAAAAAAAAAAACCATCTATAAAGTGCAAAAATAATACAGAGAGTGCTATTATTTCTGTGCATCTCAATGGAAAGAACTACAGGTTGTGGTCTTTCCAAATGAGACGTTTTCTCATGGGACGGAAGTTATGGGGTTATATTGATAGTTTTGTTCTCCAACCTAA